TCGTGATGTCGAATGATGATGAACACATATGTTGGAGTCCAGCTGCATCCAATGACATGACAGCCCAGATTTGGTTCGGCTCTGAGTCAGGCCCCTTCCACACAGCTGTATAAAATCTACATTGAACTGGATTATCTGGCAGTTTGGAATCGGGGACCTTCCACACAGCCCTATATCCCAGAATATCAAGGCAAAAAATCCCACAATATCTGCTTTGAACTGGGTTATCAGAGGGCTCTTCCACACAGCCCTATATCACAGAATATCAAGGCAGAAAATTCCACATTATCTTAGTGTGGACTCAGATAACTCAGTTCAAAGCCGATATTGTGGGATTTTCTTGGTTATATTGCTGTGTGGAAGGGCTCTTAGTGGAAACCAAGGGCCCACTCTATACAGTTCTAGCATCAAGGAATGAGGACCAATCATCTTATCTTCATGAACAGCCATTCCTTGCTCCTGCCAAACAGGATAGTGTGGGAAAGAATCCCACCTTTCCAATACCAGGCTGGAATGGAGGCATACCTGGCTTCCTTCTCTCAGCCCTAGTGATGGAGGAAGGGTTTCTGAGCACTTCCACACAGGGAACCGAGGGCCTTCCAGAGAGGCCTTTTATACTCCATGATCTGATCCCAGGTTTTGTACTTTAAACTGGATTATATGAGTCTGCACTGCCAGATAATCTGGGATAAACAGAAAACCTGGGATCAGATCCTGGGATATAGGACCTGTCTGGAAGGACTGTGAGTCCACACTGCCATAAGATCGTCAGGGGCTGCATGCTTGTATATTTAAAGTTGTATTGCAATGCTTCAAGCTGAGAGCCACTTTGAGTTTTTGGACCTTTATTACATTGAGAAATATGCCATTTCTGAGACATTTTGTGCTTTTGATAGAATAAAAGATTAGAAGACCCAGCCCACAAACCGCCTCTTCTCAAGGGTAATTCCAAAGGATTTAGGAGTGGGTCAAATGAGTCCTTTCTTCCCTATAAAACAAATGCATAGGATTATGTGGCACGCTGTCAGCCTCCATTACCAGTATATCAATCAAATCAGAGGAGGGAAATTCGATTTAGGTAGTAGGGTTCTTATGTAACTCATAGGAATGACTGTGATTTTAACTAATATTTTATAATGCTTATTGTTTAATTTTTGTTTGCTTGTGCTTTGGCTTATTCTGTTTCGTCTTATACTGCCAATCTGCTACAGAGAACCATCCAAAGTGCTGGCTTTAGCCTATAAAGCCCTAAACCAGTGATTCTCAACTGTGGGTCCCCAAATGTTTTGGCTTTCAACTCCCAGAAATCCTAACACAGTTGGTAAACTAACTGGGATTTCTGGAAGTTGTTGGCCAAAACACCTGGGAACCCACAAGTTGAGAACCATTGGTCTAAATGGTTCTGACCCAGCTTACCTGTCTGAATGTTTCTCCCCCATGAACCAGCTCGAACATTAAGATCTTCTGGGGAGGCCCTGCTTTTGGTCCCACCCTGCCTTCTCAGTGGTGGCCTCTCAGCTATGGAACTCGATCGGCTTCCTCCCTCTTGGTTTTCAGAAAGAAAGTTAAACCTTGGCTGTGGAATCAAGCATTTGGGGAGTAGCACTATGGACTATGACTGTTGGATTAGGTGCTATGGTTTCAGTCAGTTATTTAAATGTATTTATGTACCATAGTTTATTTTATGATTTTAATATTTAATGTGCTGTGTATTTATTTGCTTTTTATATTGCTATGCAACATTGAATTATTGCCAAACTTGAAGCCGCTCTGAGTTCCCTTCGGGGTTGAGATAGAGCAGGATAAAAATGCAGTAAATAAATATTTATCTGATGTGTTATTATTTTATCATTTATTTTCTATGTCTTTTTATTGTTGTAAACCACCCAAGTCCCTTCTGAGAGATGGTGCAGGGAATAACATTTATTATTATTATTATTATTATTATTATTATTATTATTATTATTATTATTATTTTCTTCCCATTTCAGGCAATGCCGAAGTTATGAACAAGAAAGATTCTGTAGTTTTGTTCTTAAGTTGAATTTGTTTGTAAGTCAGAACAGGTATAAAACAACTGGATTATATGGCAGTGTGGAAGGGGACTCAGATGACACTGAGGCCCTTTCTACAGGATTGAATAAATTCCCACATTATCTGCTTTAAACTGGAATATATGGCAGTGTGTGTTCAGATAATTCAGGGCCCTTCCAAACAGCCCTATATCCCAGAATACCAAGGCGGAAAATCCCACAATATTTATTTATTTACTGTATTTGTATACTGCCTTTCTCAGCCTGTAGGCAACTCAAGGCGGATATCTGAGTCCATACTGCCATTTATTCCACTTCAAAGCAGATGATGTGGGAATTTATTCAGCTGTGTGGAAGGGGCCCCAGTTCAAAGCAGATATTGTGGGATTTTCTGCCTTGATATTCTGAGATATAAGGGCTGTGTGGATGGGCCCTTGGATATCTGAGTCCACATATCATATATTACCCTCCAAAACAGATATTGTGGGGTTTTCCGCCTTGATATTTTGGGATATAGGGCTGTGTGGATGGGCCCATAGATATCCAAATCCACATATCATATATTCCACTCCAAAGCAGATATTGTGGGATTTTCTGCCTGGATATTTTAGGATATAGGGCTGTGTGGATGGGCCCTTGGATATCTGAGTCCACATGCCATATATTCCACTTCAAAGCAGATTATGTGGGAATTTATTCAGCTGTGTGAAAGGGGCCCCAGTTCAAAGCAAATATTGTGGGATTTTCTGCCTGGATATTTTAGGATATAGCTGTGTGGATGGGCCCTTGGGTACCTGAGTCCACACTACCATATATTCCACTCCAAAGCAGATATTGTGGGGTTTTCTGCCTGGATATTTTAGGATATAGGGCTGTGTCAATAGGCCCTTGGATATCTGAATCCATACTGCCATATATTCCACTTCAAAGCAGATATTGTGGGATTTTCTGCCTGGATATTCCGGAATATAGGGCTGTGTGGATGGGCCATGTATCCCACCTGAAAGCAGATATTGTGAGATTTTCTGCCTTGATATTCTGGAATATGGGGCTGTGTGGATGGGCCCTTGGATATCTGAGTCCATACTGCCATATATTCCAATTCAAAGCAGATTATGTGGGAATTTATTCAGGTGTGTGGAATGAGCCCCCAGTTCAAAGCAGATATTGTGGGGTATTCTGCCTTAATATTCTGGAATATAGGGCTGTCTGGATGGGCCATGTATCCCACCTGAAAGCAGATATTGTGGGATTTTCTGCCTGGATATTTTAGGATATAGGGCTGTGTGGATGGGCCCTTGGATATCTGAGTCCACATGCCATATATTCCACTTCAAAGCAGATAATGTGGGATTTTATTCAGCTGCGTGGAAGGGCCCCCAGTTCAAAGCAGATATTGTGGGATTTTCTCCCTGGATATTCTGGGATATAGGGCTGTGTGGACGGGCCCTTGGATATCTGAGTCCACAGATCTATATTCCACTCCAAAGCAGATAATGTGGGATTTTCTGCCTTGATATTCTGAGATAACGGGCTGTGTGGATGGGCCTTTGGATATCTGAGTCCACATGCCATATATTCCACTTCAATACAGATAATTTGGGATTTTATTCAGATGCGTGGAAGGGCCCCCAGTTCAAAGCAAATATTGTGGGATTTTATTCAGCTGTGTGGAAGGAGCCCCAGTTCAAAGCAAATATTGTGGGGTTTTCTGTCTTGATATTCCGGAATATAGTGCTGTGTGGTTGGGCCATGTATCCCACCTGAAAGCAGATATTGTGGGATTTTCTGCCTTGATATTCTGAGATATCGGGCTGTGTGGATGAGCCCTTGGATATCTGAGTCCATACTGCCATATATTCCACTTCAATACAGATAATTTGGGATTTTATTCAGCTGCGTGGAAGGGCCCCCAGTTCAAAGCAAATATTGTGGGATTTTATTCAGCTGTGTGGAAGGAGCCCCAGTTCAAAGCAAATATTGTGGGATTTTCTGCCTTGATATTCTGGGATATAGGGCTGTGTGGAAGGGCCCTTGGGTATCTGAGTCCACATGTCATGCATTCTACTTCAAAGCAGATATTGTGGGATTTTATTCAGCTGTGTGGAAGGGGCCCCAGTTCAAAGCAGATATTGTGTGGTTTTCTGCCTTGATATTCTGGGATATAGGGCTGTGTGGATGGGCCCTTGGATATCTGATTCCATACTGCCATATATTCCACTGGAAGAGGTCCCTGTTCAAAGCAGATATTGTGGGGTTTTCTGCCTTGATATTTTAGGATATAGGGCTGTGTGGATGAGCCCTGGGATATCTGAGTCCATACTGCCATATATTCCACTGGAAGGGGCCCCAGTTCAAAGCAGATATTGTGTGGTTTTCTGCCTGGATATTTTAGGATATAGGGCTGTGTGGATGGGCCCTTGGATATCTGAGTCCATACTGCCTTATATTCCACTGGAAGGGCCCCCAGTTCAAAGCAGATATCGTGGGATTTTCTGCCTGGATATTCTGGGTTATATAGCTGTGTGGAAGGGAGACCAAGGCAGGGTTGGCCCCTCCCATAGAGGGGAGAAAGAGCAGCCAGGGCGTGTCCCCTTTCACAGAAAAGATGGCACGAGGGAGCGCCCCAAACCAGAGGGGGAGTCCTGAGGGAAGGGGAAGGTCCCGCCAAAAGGCCCCTCCCTTCAATGTGGAGCCACCGCCCAGTTTCCCTCAGCCGCCCCCTCCCTCCCTCCTTCCTGGCTATTGTTTCCAGCTGGAGAAGAAACGACCCCGCCCCCTTTTCTGACAGGTAGCAAAGCCCAGCGAGGGGGTGGGGCGGGGTGCAAGGCGGGGTGCAGGCAGGGCGCGCGCCTCACTCTCTCCTAGCCGACTCTCCCCTCGCGTTGCCTAGCAACCAGGCTGTTTCCCCCCCCCGCCCAATTCCCCAACCCCGCCAGAGGAAGCCACGCCCCCTCGGCGTCCCACCTTGGGGCTGTCGACGCCTTCTCCCACGGCCACGACGGTGCCGGCGGCCTCCATGCCGGGGCTGAAGGGGAGCGACGGGAGCCGCTCGTAGAGGCCCTGCCGCGCCAGGAGGTCGGCGAAGTTGAGCCCGCAGGCCCGCACCTGGAGGCTGACTTGGCCCGCGGCGGGGCTGGGCTCGGCTTGAGGCAGCTGGCGGCTCTGCAGCTTGACTTTCTCGTACCCGCCGAAGCCTGTCAGCACCAGCGCCCTATAGGGCCGCCCGGGCTCCTTCTCCGAAGAGGCGGGCTTGCTTTCTTCCACCGCTGCTACCGCCGCCGCCTCTTTCTCCTGAGGCGGCTCCGTCGGGGGAGACGCCGCGTTGTTGGCGGCTGCGGGAGGGGCTCCTGCATCGCCCCCGGCGGCCTCTTCCCCGGACATGGTCGCTGCTCGAGCTCAGAGAGAGACAGACACAGAGAGAGAGAGTCCCTTTCCTCTTCTGCTCCTGCTTTTGCTGCTACTCAGCTCGGAGGAGAAGGCGCGGCTGGCCAGATGCGTAAAACAGCTGGAGGAAAGGAAAGACCCGGAGCCGGATTCCAGGGCGGGACGGAGCGGCTGAAGCAAAACGCGGACTGGATTGCAGGCTCCGTTTTGTACATATCCAAGCCCTCTTTTCCCCGCCTCCTAAGCGAAAGACACGCCCACTAGGAACGCCTTTCTGGTCCCAGCCCACGCAGATATCTCTTCCCCCCCCCCCTCCCAGTTCATTGGTTGCTTTGGGTTGCTGTGAGTTTTGTTTAGTCATAGAATAGCCATGGACAAACGTCAGTCCTCCAGGAGGTTTGGACTCCAACTCCCTCCATTCCTGGCCTCAGGCCCCTTCCTTTCCCCCCTCAGACGCATAGAATCATAGAATCAAAGAGTTGGAAGAGATCTTAACACCTCTTAACAAAAGATTTTCCTAGGCTCAGCCAGGCCTTGAAATGCTAATTTATTTATCGTGTCATCCGCAACCAGAACATTGTATTACATTTCTAACAGAACAAAACAAACGAACAGATAAAAAAAACCACAAATTTTGCAAACTTGGTAGCTGATTAAATGTCCTTTGACCAGTATCTGGCCACTTGGAGTGCTTCTGGTGTTGCTGCAAGAAGGTCCTCCATTGTGCATGTGGCAGGGCTCAGGTTGCATTGCAGCAGGTGGTCAGTGGTTTGCTCTTCTCCACACTCGCATGTCGTGGCTTCCACTTTGTTGCCCCATTTCTTAAGATTGGCTCTGCATCTCGTGGTGCCAGAGCGCAGTCTGTTCAGCACCTTCCAAGTCACCCAGTCTTCTGTGTGCCCAGGGGGGAGTCTCTCATCTGGTATCACCCACGGATTGAGGTGCTGGGTTTGAGCCTGCCACTTTTGGACTCTCGCTTGCTGAGGTGTTCCAGCGAGTGTCTCTGTAGATTAAGATGAGATGGGTCAAACCTAGGCATGAATGAGAGTTGTACAATTTTTGCTACACATATTATTATTATTATTATTAAACTTTATTTGTACCCCGCTATCATCTTCCCAAGGGACTCAGTGCGGCTTACATGAGGCCGAACCCACAATACAACAATAAAACATAGCAACAGTGTGCTGTCGCACGCTGGGCCTGTGCATAAGACAAGACATAAATTCTGTGTGCCCAACAGGACGCCGGGGCTGCCTCAGATTAAAGGCCTTTGGATTTCCTTAAACAGAGTCTTTAGATTGCTTAAAAGTTCAACAAAGTTCTTTATTAATGAAAACAAACAGGTACTTTAATGCTTTCTTAACAGTCTATTGCAGGGGTCCTCAAACTAAGGCCCAGGGGCCGGATGCGGCCCTCCAAGGTCATTTACCAGGCCCTCACTCAGGGTCAACCTAAGTCTGAAACGACTTGAAAGCACAACAACAACAACAATCCTATCTCATCAGCCAAAAGCAGGCGCACACTTCCCACTGAAATACCAATAAGTTTATATTTGTTAAAATTGTTCTTCATTTTAATTGTTGGATTGTTTTTAGGTGTTTTTTTTTGTACTACAAATAAGATATGTGCAGTGCATAGGAATTCATTCATTTTTTTTTCAAATTATAATCGGCCCTCCAACAGTTTGAGGACTGTGACCTGGCCCTCTGTTTAAAAAGTATTATGGCAAACATTCAATGCCATAGACACACAACATATATAGACAGACACCCAGAGGCTATTTAACATTCCAGCTTTTTCATGATATTCTGGCCACCAGGGGAGCTGTCGCTTCCATTTGTGACACTGATGAAGTACTTCCTCATTCTTTGCATGCTTGCTGGAGATTTTTTATGGCGTCTTAAATTAGCCTCACCACATAAGCAGTACCTAAATTTCCTACCTGACAGACACAACTGTCTTTTGGGCTGCAACGGTCAACAGCAAGCTACACAAATTGGTCAGAAGCTCACTCCAACCCAGGCTGGCTTTGAACTCATGACCTTAATGCAGCTGACTCCCAGCCAGCTGTGCCACAGTCCCAAATCGAACAGAATGAAACCATATTAATGAATATATCTTAGGTATATGTATTTTAACCGGTATTGTCCACCACAATCTGGAAGGCACTCAAAAGATAAGACTATAATTTGCACCAGTCATGACGGCTATACGTCGTCTCTACTATCAAGAGGCGTTATTTTTCTGATTGCCTTTTGCTGAGCAGATTCTGTGAAAGAGAGGAGGCTACAGTGAGTATTTTCTGCTTACAGGTTTCCCATGAGTATCTGATCATTTTTGTGTAGGCAGAACATTGGGCTTTATAGTCTTTGGTCTGATTGAGTATAGGTCTATTAATGCTCTTAAACCTCACCCCAATGTCTTCCAGTTGACTTAACAGTCTAGAACAGGGGTCCTCAAGCTTTTTAAACAGAGGGCCAGGTCACAGTTCCTCAAACTGTTGGAGGGCTAGATTATAATTTGAAAACAGCATGACTGAATTCCTATGCACACTGTACATATCTTATCTGGAGTGCAAAAAACACTTAAAAACAATACAATAATTAAAATGAAGAACAAGTTTAACAAATATAAAATTACTAGTATTTCAATGGGAAGTTTGGGCCTGCTTTTGGCTGATGAGATAGGATTGTTGCTTTCAAGTCATTTCAGACTTGGGTTGACCCTGAGCGAGGGCCGGGTAAATGACCTTGGAGGGCTGTATCCGGCCCTCGGGCCTTAGTTTGAGGACCCCTGGTCTATGGCATTGAATGTTTGCCATGTATATGTACATTGTAATCCACTCTGAATCCCCTGCAGGGTGAAGAAGGGTGGAATAGAAATAAATAAATAGATTGAGAGGGAAATCTCAAGTGAAGTGACACAAGGCTCTGACTTCCATTCTTTTAGGCAGGACTTGGAGAAGGATGTAAAGGAAATATTGGTCAAATTTGCAAGATAATCTGATACCACAGAACAGAGAATCACAATTAGAATAGTTTTGACAGGCTGCAACACTACACTGAAAACCAACAAGAAGAAATTCAGCTGAAATAAATGTAAATTCCTTCACTTAGAATGAATCAAAGTCACATGTATAGGATGTGACAGCAGAGCGTGAAAAAAGGATGTAGGTGTCTTAGTTGAGCATAAGCTGAGCATGAGTCAGTCGTGCAGTGTGACAGCTAAAAGAAAAGTGAATGCTCTCCGAGGCAACACTGACAACAGCATAGTGTCGGATCACAATAATAGTTCCATTATATTCTGTGCTGGTCAAGGCTGCATCTGGACACCACATTTTCGGAAGCTCATGGTAAGATGGAACATGTTCAAAGGAAGACAGCCAAGCTGGTGAAGGATCTGGAAGTTGAGTCCTAGGAGGAACAGGTGAAAGAGCTGAGTACGTGTGGCCTGAAGAAGAGAAGGTCAAAAGGAGACATTGTGCCTCTTTTCAGATATTTGGAAGCTTGTGGTGCAGAAGATGGAGCAAATTTGTTCTCTGGAAGCAGAAGGCAAGACCAGTATCAATGAATGGAAACAGCAGAGCTAAAGTTAGAAAAAACTTCCTAATGGTAAAAGCTGTTTGAAAATTAAACAATTTCATTTGGGAGGCAGGATGTTTGGTTTCTTGCTTTAACAAGAGACACTAAAATAGAGATTATGTGGCCAGCTGCATTCTGGATTCAAGAGCCTGTATTCTGCAAAGAGTTGAGACTAGATGATCTCAGCGTCTTCCCTTACCTCTTTTCTCTGCCTATTCCAGAAAGCAATGGCATTCACATAATATTGCACTCTGTGAGATTTGTGTCTGAGCATTTTGAGATTGAACTGAATGCTTTTTGTACTCAAATTACATAGAGCCCAGAAAATTGAAATGTGAGCCAAGAAGTAACTGGCTTGAATATCATATTTGCCATAAATGATCTGGGTGGCAAATTTTGTTTCATTCACCCTTACACAAAACAAAGCTGATACATTATTTCTTGTTCTGAGAATAATTCTGCCAGCTTTATGAAGCCATTGTAGTAATCATGTGCCTATTCTATACAAAGCCCTTGTGTTCTTTTTTCTTATTACATTCATATTTGAATGCTGTTGGTGCTCCAAAATGAAACTTTTATTCTCACAGTGCCTCATTCATGTAAGTTGACCAGAGTTCCAGTTGCCAAAATCTTCAATATCCAGTGATCCCACTGTCTCTTCCTTTTTTAAAAAACATATTTTATTATGGTATAAACACAAATCAGCAAACCATATTCCAAGTGTTACAAGCATAAAGCCCAAGTAATTCAACAAATATTAATGGCATTTTGCTAGTTTACACTGATGAAAATTATATTTTTCCTCCCTCTCCCTCCCTCCTCAACCACAGTATATTTCTACTCATCTTGCAGATCCAGCCACTGGTGAAGTCTTTGTATTTTTTTTTCTTTGATGTAATCGTTGGCTCCTCCATTTTTCACCCAGTTGAAGTAGACCTTCCATCTATTTATAAGGTCATTTTGTTTGTCCGTTCTTGTTGCTTGCTTAGTCATAATTCCCATAATATCTAACAACCCTTAATCATACATATGATCATTCCAATTATTTAATGTCCATTTCAATTTGTCTTTCCATCCTCTACAATCACCGCATATGCTGCTCTTATTGTTACTTTAAATAACTCCTGGTAATTGATTGATATATTTGGGGGATCCAACACTCCCCATAGTAGCAAATCATCATTAATTTGAATTTTTATCTGCAATATCTCCTGAATTTTTGCTTGTATTATTTGCCAGAATTGTTTTATTTCAGAACACTCCCACCACATATGTGAATAAGTACCTTTTTCTTTATTACAGTGCCAAGACTTTGAATTCTTTCCTTTTACCATATAAGCCAGTTGTTCAGAGATTCTATACCAGGGGTCCCCAAACTACAGCCCGTGGGCCGTATGTGGCCCGCCGAGGGCATTTCTCCGGCCCGTACGGCATGGCCTGGCCTGGCCACGCCCATCCGGCACCGCTCCACCAATCGCGGGAACCCTCTGCTCCGGCCGCTCTGCTCTTGTGGGAGGGAGAAGCCTCCCAGGTGGGTCCTCTGGAGACCAGAGTGGCCGGAGCAGAGGGTTCCCGGCTGCTATTGGTGGAGTGGCACCGGTGGGCGTGGCCAGGGA